TTCACAGCACATGCAAAGAGTAGGATACAGATTGAAACGGTGGAAACTATCTAGTCATATGCGTATAGGAGAACTCGAGTCTAAAATGGTATATAATAAAATGTTTACAGAAGTCATTTTTTATTGTGGTTGATTATAACTTTTTTTTTTTTTTACTTGATTGTACTTTTAAAGATTCTTTTGTCCCTATAAACACAGTTCTACAAAAAAAAAAAAATTCTAATAAAAGTCTAGACTCATTTGAAGTATTTTTCATATCTTCAGCAATAAGACAGCATTAAGTAGTGCCAAGAACATATTAGAGGAAGAATCAAAACATCTGGTGTCGCAACACTAATTGTGTTACCTTGAACAAATATCTCAGGAGCAGTTTACTCAACTGTAAAATGGGTGCTTAATCTACCTCACAATGCTGTTGTGAAGATCAAGTAAAATGTCTTGAAAAATGTAAAATGCTATAAAAATAGAAGATGCAATAATCAATATTATCACTTAAAAGTAGTTAAATATAAAAATGTTGCTACTGCCTGGCCGAGCGGCCCTGCTGCTGGGTGTTGTCCGGGCACTGAAGGGTGGTTGGACAGGCCAGGGCCATGCCAGGGGTGGGGCTCTAGGGGCATGGAGGAGGCAGGCCATCTCACACTGATGTTTCTCTCTCCCTCCCCTTCTTTCTAAAAATAAAAAAAAAGTTGAAAACAGAAAATGTTGGTTTGACCTTTTAACTGACTCTTGCAGTGTTATGTTCACGTAGTGAATACCTTTTATAATCATGTCCTATGATTTTGCTCAATGCTGAGTCAGAAATGGTGACATGGAATACAAATCTATAAACCTCTGGCCCAGAAACCATATAATAGCAAAATTCTAATGAGGCCAATGAAGAAATTAAGCAATTAATTATGTAGTTTTCCCCATGGACACCAAAAGCTCCTATTTTCCCAAAATAATGCTCTGCTTTCTCTTTTCTCCAAATAGGCAGTCAAATTGCCTGAAATGCTCACAGCCATCATTCATATAATAGGGTTAAGCAACTGAAGGCTTGCCCTGGCTGATGTGGCTCAGTTGGTTGAGTGTCATCCTGTGCATGGAAAGGTTTGCTGGTTCGATTCCTGGTCAGGGCACATACAGGAGGCAACCAATTGATGTTTCTCTTTCTTTCTCTCTCCCTCCCCCTTTCTCTTCCTCTAAATTCAATAAACACACACACACACACACACACACACACACACACACAAAGGATCACTTATAATCTAACTTAAAAAAAAGGCTTCTATTAAAATCCATGTGTATGTGTGTATTTGGAAATACAGCAAATTATTTTCTATTAACACCATATTAAAAATTGGTTATTAGATACATTAGTTACTTATCTAGCAAGAAGGATAAAGAACCCATTCTTTTCTAAATTTAAATATCTGTAAGGTCCTGGGGCTGAGAGTGTGAGGGACGGAGGGGAGGGAGGAAGGGGAGAGCGGGCTGAGACCCGGAGAGCTACTAGAACAAGAAACCTGGCTAAGAAGACAGCAGGGAGAATGAGACAGACAATTAAAAGACCATCCTTGCCATCTTTACAACTTGTGTAGGGCTAAGTCTGACTCTAAGAAGTTATAGCAATACGTTTGCCAAAATAATAACTACATATTTAGTTCACTGATAAACTATACAGTTTATTTTCTATTGAATAATCCAGATATATATTTTGTAACAACTGCCATGGCACATAAATTCCCCCAATATGCATCTCCTTTACCTCTCTGTTATAGTGATAAATAATAAAATTCTCAGTTTTATCTTCTTCCCTCTCAGTTGGGGGCACTTATCTACTCCACACCTTTCACCTCTCACCATGGTAGTAAGGTAATTACAAAAGTCTGTTTAAATCCACCCACCTGTCTTTTGTTTTGCTGCCTAACTGGGTCTTTTCCAAGCAGGCAGAAACTCTCCAATCAGTCTGTTATCACAACCAGAATGTAAGAGATCAGTGGCCACGGGGAGAAGCAGAATCAGTTTACATCCTTTCAGGCTGGAGAATGATACACCTCACAGGCAAGAAATCTGAGGCTCCCTGACCTTAACTGAGAAAACCTGCAGTTAATAATCACATTAAAGCTGGCTTTACATGCCAGACAGCTTTTGTTTCCTGTTGTTTTTACAACTGGAGTGTCCTTTGTGGCTATCAGAGTTATTTGCTGAAAGGCATATATTAACATTTAAAAAATTTGATATATAATAAATTAGGTCTTACAGTTTAGGTATATCTGAGTTAAAATATACTTTGTATTCATGTTTTACAAAGCTAATAACATTGCTTGTATTTACCTGGTGCTGAATTTAGCAATTGTCATTAATTATGACAATTAATACACTGAAAACTCCTTTCTTAACTGAGGAATTAAATGCATTTTTCATTGTAATCTGACAACCTAAATCAAGACTATAAAGATCCCACTCTCACCCCTCCCTGAAAAAGGTCAATTGTTTCTGAAAGGAAAGAGAACAAACCCCGAAGCTATAAATTTAGCAAGGAAAACAGGTCAAAAACCAGATGTGCAGAGCAGGGGTGAACTGGCCCAGGTGATCAGGTCAGTAAGCAGAGGTTTCAAGGACAGCAAACTGAACTTGCCTTCTTTTTCATAATCAAACACTTAATGAAAACAAATCTAATTAACACCATAGGCCAAAAAGTGATCTTATGATGTGTGGTTAACTTTTAGTTAACATTCTAGTAAAGGAACCTGTATTAGTCAAACCCATTTCAGCTGCTTCAATGGAATTTATTGCGTGTTCACAAAAACGAGTCTTCAGACACCTGTTCTCTTTTAAAGAGAGTAATTTACAGGTGTGTGTGTGTAGTTAGTGAAATGAAATGTACAGGCCAACTATGGAGATGATGTTTAGAGAATGAAAAAACAGTGAGTCTCTCTATAGTTGACGTAGAAGAAAAGTTACAATGGCACTTTGGTATACTAAATATTGATATACTAAATACTGATCTATAAGGTACTGTTAGTATTATAAAAACAGAACTAATACTTGGAGGAAAAAAATCTCAAAAAGTCACATTTGCTACTTCTACAATAAGAGCAGGAATATCCATTACAGACAAGAGATTAGTCTCCCTTCAGTTTTGGCAAAGAGAAAACTATGGCAGTTTTCTAGAAGAAAAGAATTTGAAACACATGGAATGAATTTGCACAAGTTTGAAAAGGTGTCTTTGCTTATCTGGGGACTGTTGCACTAAAACAACTTTTTAAATTATGTTTAGATTTTCAAGATGTATGATACTGACAAGCCATCTCAAGGCTCTATTGGTTACATCATGTATTTTCTTAGTATTTACCAGTAAACTTTCATTTCTCTCCTCTTAAAAATAATAGATTAAAAATTTAAGCAGATGATAATGACAAATTAATATTAAAAACTGCTCTATTCATTATCCTATCTGCCTTTGGCATTATTAACTGTAAGTTCTCAAAGAAATATTTAAAAGTTAAAAGCTGTCTTCAAAAGAGACACTGAATTAGTGAACTATTATTTCTCATTAGGCAATTAACTAAAAATTTGAGCCTTATTAAGCCAATAATGGTTTGATAACCTTTTAAAAATTGTTTTAGTAATTTTTGTTAATCATTATATTAACAGCACATAGTTGTATAATTAGAGGGTCATAATACTTAAAATGTATCCTTCTGGTTCCTTTTCCCAGTCTCCTAAGATAACTGGTCTCCTCATAAAACACAGAGAAAAAAAAAAAAAGGAAAAAAGTTACAAGATATAAGTGCTACTTTCCCACATGATCAGTCTTTAACTCTGAAGCCAAAAGAAAAAGAAAAAAAAAAATCTTATAAAATCCAAATAGTATTTTAAGAGTGATTTTAAAAAGATCTATATGGCATTAAAAACATTCCTATATATAATTTAAAACTCTTAAAGAACTATTTAAAAATTTGACAATAATATGTTCTATAAGCTTGTTTTTAAATTAAAAGATTGTAATTTACTACAAAAAGGTAGCAGCATTTTATGTAACAAACTTCTGTTTGGTGGTTGTGCTTATTAATCATTTTTCAGGGTTTTAAACTGTTCATTATCAGAAAAGATCCAACATTTACTATTGGAATTGAGGAGGACATTTGAATCTTTGCTTTCAGTAACCCTATAAATATTTTAGATGTACAGGATTTATTTAAAATAATTTAAATAAATTCAGAAAAGAACTTGTTTAGTAAAGACTACTAATATTTGTAAAAATAAGGATCATATTGATAAAAATAAAAATTTCTTAATATCAAGTAAACATTTACTGAGTAGTACTTGTCAGGCGCTGTGGTAGATGTTTTAATAAGATTCTCTGACTTAAATTTCCTCCATAAAAGTACCCAAAGTGATAACTCTAACCCTGTCCAGGTAAACACTTTTTTTTTTTTTTTTTTAAATGCCAGGTATGGCTTGTCATATTACATGTGTGTGTATTTTTTTTTTTTTTTGGGGGGGTGGTGGTTTAAGGATTTTAAACAACTTGTTAAAATAGATGGTAGGAATCATCCTTAAGATAAAAACAAACATTATAGGGACACTGTTGATTTAATTAATGCAAACCACCTGTCTAAATACCTACACCAAGGAATCTGTATAATTCCGTTAACAAGATCCAGATGAAATATAACTTCTTTTTATCCCTCACTTTTTATGAAATATAACTTTCCTAATTCTAATCAGTCTGAGAACTATTTTTTGCCCCAAAGCTGAAGGAGTCACTCGAAATACAGAACTAGCTTAAGTTTCTAACCACTAGAATTCCTTAAACAGCTGTTAACTGGGGATCATTGGACTGGCTGAAATCTGCTTCTTGCTTATTTCGTTAATGGTTCACTTCCAGGACCTAAAAGGGTTGTAGCCTTTCTCCAAAGATAATGGTGGAGGCATTTATGTCTACCTTCTACATAGCTGGCTTTTCTGGATTTTCACTCTCCATACAATGCAAATCTGAGTGAACTCACATCTGTCACTGATCGACCCAGTTCGTGAGCAATCTTTTCCCATCGACCTGGGGTCCCTCCTGGGAACTTAACCATACTTCTTGTCAACTGGCTGAGGTCCTCTTCTGTCCATTCAGGTGCCTGCAAAACATTAAGGGGGAAAAAAAAGACAATTTAAAGAATGTTTGCTAATACATTTAATAAACCTGTGAAACAAACTATTGGCAATATTCATTCTGCAAAAACAATAATATTTCAATGTATCTAATAGTTCAGATAGAGGTTTGAGTTGCATGTTTAACATCAGAATGCAAAGCTCCAGTAGCCTTTTACATTTTCCTACGTATACCAAATATAAAAGTAGAAATACTGTGAAGTCAGGCTTTTGAAGAAATTTGGAAAGAAAAAAAAAAAAAAAAAGACAAGTCAGATCTGTATTAGTGAGAAATCATTCACAAAGCCCATGAAATGCATTATGTCACTGCTGCTTAAAATGCCTCATATAGTCACTACATGTAAAAGTTTTTTTAAAAAACAAGGTTTTAATTGTTTTCTTTAAAGTATAAGCATAAATGAAAATGTCAACAAGTAAATGTAGAGTTCAAGAATCATAATTGAGACAAAGATCTATTTTGTTCATTCTAAGTAACAACATTCTAAAAATCATGTATTCTCAAAAAGTGTAACTTATCAAATGTTACCATTTTATAAAATTTGGGAACAGAAATAAAATTAGAAACTCATGGGACCAACACTTAAACCATCAAGTCTGTGCAAAGCAACATTTCATTTTTGAGAAGGTAATCAGCTCCTAAAAGTCAATCAAATTATTATTTGAATAATAAAATACCTTGAAATATTACAGAAAAAATTTTTTTTTTTTGCAAAAGCAAACATTCAAGGCACATTCTCTGCATTTTATTCAGCACGACCACTTGGTCAAACCCAAAGCTGAGCAAAGCAAAAAGAAGAAAACCCCCCAAACGATTATCATCTAATAAACAAACATGTTACAATTATTTTGTGTTACATTTTAGCATTAAGCTATTCCCTACCAGGGTCAGTAACCATTGTGGTATTAAACAATTCTCTAGGAGTCAGCAGCGAGATGGAGAAAGCCCACTTTATTTTTCTTTAATTAAAAAGGAGGAAGAAACGAAGGAAGGAAACCTTTGAGACAAATACCTTTTCTAATCACCATTTCCGATAATGAACAGGCATACATCAGGGCGTTTGCATTACAGAACCATCAGCACAGAACCACAGTCAGAGGTGAGTGACCCCTGGGACTATCTCCACAGCTACAGCAAAGCTTCTCCCTGACACTAATCCTCCCTGTCATTCTCCCACAGTGTTCTAACCACACTGACATCCGCCTGCCTCACTGCGAGCTTAACGGGGCCCTTCCTGACTTTTACTGTCTCCCCCAATCAATGGCTCAAGCGTGCTCTTTTCACCAAGTCCAAATGGCAGCTTCACTCATAATCAAAGTGCACTGCCCTGTTAAAGGGCTTTCCCAAAGGCTCTCCCATTTGCATTCATTTGCAAAGCAAACTACTTTTATTCACTTTGTTCTGCTATCAAGAATGTTCCCTGAAGCAGATAAATTGGCATAAATACAACCTGCCACTTAAGAGTCAGTAAATAATAGCCAATAGTAGGGAGGATTTTATCAATCATTCTGTTTTGTATCCACTAAAAGCTGAAAGCCTCGAACATATTCATCAGTACAACCCGTAGATCCATGCATAAATCCACATAAAAAAGTAGCCTACATTGGATATGGCTGAAATTTCTCTGATATTTAATGATATCAGAAATCTAATTTTCCGTATCAGGTAATTAAAATTTTACACTGAAGATTTTCTTTCTTTCTGCTTGCTTTTACTTTGTTTAGGGGGAAAAGTATATTTTTATTGCTATAAAATTGAAACTTTTAAATAACTGTTTTTTCAGAAAAGCTAAATAGTTAAGAATTTAAACATAAGCTTATAGTATAAAGTCATACCAAAAAGAGCATTAGGTTGACACTGCAGAGATATAGTATTCAAACTATATAGTAATATCAATGCAATTACACACTAAATAAAATCATCTTATGTTTACTTCTGACTAATTATAACAAATATTTTTGGAGTAAACAAAATTGTTTAAAATGCCAATAATATATAGGTATTGTTTCCCATAGTAAACTAATTTGTTCAAATAATTTCTATTTTGTGAGAATGGTTTTCCAAATATGCTGCATATATGAGCAATGGGCTTTACAAATTTTATTAAATTCCCTGTTAATAAGATGAGTCTAAAAGTATAGTTCCACTTTTTCTGGGAAGGAAAAGAATTAAATATTTGGACTGATATCCTGAAAAATTATCAACTGCGAGAACAATCTTTCTTTTTAGTTTTGAAGTTATTTCATGGCTGTGATTTTTATTAATTTTGAGAGAGATCAATACCATGTTTCCCCGAAAATAAGACCCAGCGCATGGAAAAATAAGACATCTCCTGAAAATAAGACCTAGCGCATCTTTGGGAGCAAAAATTAATATAAGGCACTGCTTTATTTTGGGGGAAACAGGGTAGTAACTAGGATCATAATCTGAAACCTTGGAGAGAATACTTTCAGCAGATCATTATTCTCTCCTTCAGCTGTAGGCACTCTGGGGCCTGTGCCATTCCTCAGCAATAGTTAGCTGTGTCTTTGGAGGCAACAGAGCCTCCTGTGCCCCAGCCGCGAAGGCCGCTATGAGGGTGGCCATGGTGTGAATGTATTCTCCTTGTTCTAATCTGGAGCCAACTGGAGCTGTGAAAGTCAAATGAATGCATAAGCATACGGCTTTGCCACGTAAAACCATGTGTGTCCATTATTACCAAGACACTGGGCCAAAAATTCATCTCTTTAGTAAAGTAATGGGAGATACCACATGGTGTGGGGACAGCTGTTGTGACTACAGGAGCATTCCAATTTTGCATCAGAAAAGCCCCACTCTGGGGATAAATCTCTATACTGAATACGACATAAAAAGTAAGTTTTCAAATTATTCAATATTTTTATGTAACGATTCAAAAGTAAGAGCTGATATGAAATTTTAGGTTGTATTCCCTAATAAAGTCCCTTTGGAATAGATTTTTGTCAGAAATCCAGCTATGTCAAAGATTTGGTGCCCTTGAAAATTCTTACTATGCTTGGGGGATAGGAGCTGGAAGCTGTAGCAGAAAACAGGTTATATTTTTAAAGTAATCTAAACACTTCCCCCCTCACAGCTTTAGAACATAAAATGTTAATTAAAATAAGGATCATGCAATTTATTTAACACTGAAAATTTATGACCAAATTAAAAAAAAATTTAAATGTAATTATTTATTTTCATACTTGAATGACAAAAGGTCCATTTCTAGCCAATAAGTAGATACTGAAACTCCCTAATGAACATAGTTTCTATTGAAATGACTTGTTAATAATTATTTATATAATTAAAGAAGTTGCAATTTTGGACCCAGTAATTTTTAATAGATTCAGTTCAACTCATAACTTCTGTGGATGAAAAAGGGGCCACATAATAAACCTGACAAGCTCAGGGGAGGCCTAATGATGGTCTTACAAACTCCAGACCTAAGGTAAGGACACAGAATGGTCTGAAAGTGAAACTTTCTAACTAAAACCAGTTCATAGCTGGTAGTCATGTCCTAGGTGGGTATTTTTCCCTAACAAAGATCAATCTTTACTTTAACTGAGCCCGTTATCTTGTTTATGTTTTGTTTTGTTTTTTGTTTGCAATTAAGGTAACATATCCGATAACAGTAACCTTGGAATATCAAAGCAATTTCCTTTTTTCTGGACCCTTCAAAGCACAACCAAGCCAGAGCAGAGATCATAAATGCCCTCATTGTTATTATTATCATGCTAATTACTGACTGTTAACTATGTTATACCCACAAATGTTTTACCTTTTATCCAATCCCAGAGATACTTCCTCCATCCCCCCTCTGCTTTCAATGTATAAAATAAGGAGCATTTTCTCAATCAGCTGAGATTTTGCTTTCTGGCAATTGTCATCAGTTTGATGTAAATAAACTCATAATGTAAAGGTTTGGATATTTCTTACATTGACACTTCCCAGATATGTTATCTAAGAAATAATATCCTTATATAACATTATCCAGTTAAAATATTAATGTATATCTAATGATGTAGTTGATATATCTAGTAAGTGAATGATATGCTATCCTCTAATTCTATGTCCTATACTGACTTTGTGTTTTAGAATGTCAATTTGGCTTTTGGCTACATATTTTCCTTTCCAATTTCACTATATATATAGAGAGAAATGGTATGTTAAAAAAAAAAAAAAGCCAGCAACAGAATTAAAAACAAATCACTTTAAATATCTTTTCACTCTTAGGAAGAGAAACTCTTTGAAGAAAGTTTGCAACTCATCCCAAACTATCGTTCTACTGTTATGATCTTTTAGCACACTCAGTATTTCAAGTGTGTCCACAAGGTCTCCTCATCTATGATGAGCTGCCTTGCCAAAAAAAGAGATCCCACCTGGACCAGTGATTGTAAAGCGTGTTCTTTGGGGTGGCATGCTACCATCTTAACTAGCTAATTATTAATAACTAGAGCCTAGGTGCATGAAATTGGTGCATGAGGGGTGGGGGTGGGGGTCCTCTCCGTCCATTCTGCACCCTGTCCAATCTGGGACACCCTTCTCACAATAATCTAGGACCACTGGCTCCTAACTGCTCACCTGCCTGCCTGATTGTCCCTAACTGCCCCCCACCCCTAACTGCCCCCACCCCTGCTTCCCTGGTCACCCCCAACTGCCCTCCCTCCTCAACTGGCCAGGTCGCCCCTCACTAACCCCCCTGCCGGCCTACCCAACCTGTTCAGTTGTCCATCCAGTTGCAATGGTCACTTATGCTTTTATATGTATAGATAGAAAGAAAGCAAAGGACATGATCATCTAGGCAACTTCAGCAGGAAGCAGGAACTTCATGCTTCCCAGAAAACCCCTGATCCACTCCTTGCAGGTCACTGGGGAAAGGATTCCAACAAGGATTCCAACGAAGGGGAAGATGGCACCTGTGCAGTGAAGTCAGGGTTACACTGGGAAGATGCTTGCCTGTCAGTCTAGCCT